TATAATGCAAAGTGCCATGTTCCTGGCTGTCCACCACGACTGCGGATCCATGGACAAGAGCTCAGGCAGCAGCCCCAAGAGCGAGGAGAAGCGGGAGAAGATGAAGCGGACCTTGTGAGTACGGCTTCCTTCTCTCCCCGCCGCCCGCCGGCGCCGACCGAGCACTGCAGGCGCTGTGCCTAGAGGCTCGGCTTTGACCATAGGAAACTATGTAGCCAGCGTCTCTGCAGGAAAAACAAAAAACTAATGTGCAAAACTTTAATTGGCTAAATAAGGTTAAATCCGTGTGGCCTGTGTTTGGATGCGCGAGCGAAGGGCTCTCGGGTAGAGTTGAGGAACTGAAGACATTTCTTGGTTCCAAGGCGGTGGGAGAGCCGAGTGGGAAGTTGGGGGTCGGCTTTTTGTCCCCCTGCGTCTGAGCGTATCCCCTTCATTCCTATGTTGCGTTTTAAGTTCTGAGCAGCCTATATAGTTGCAGGCATGGAGATATTTTTGCTGGTTCTGAATATATTCTTTTTAAATCCACTTTTTTTTTCATGTTTAATTTTGTCATTTAGTGGATCATCTGCTTCAGATGAGTGTTGTGGCCGGGGGTGGGAGGGCCGGTCACACACCCCTCATGGTGCCCAGCTCTGGCTGGTCCGGAGCCTTCTCCTCCGAGGGCAGAAGGGACATGATGCTCACTGGCTCCAGCCAGTCCCACTGGCATTTCAAGTGTGAAATGTCTAGGGATTGTAATTAACGTTGCAGAAAAACGGCTGCCTTTTCCAGGCCAGAAATACCATCTGCCTTTTGAACTATGCAAACTAAATTTATTAAACTAATCCTAGTAATTTAGGTAGTCCTTCCCTTAGATATAAAACTAATAGCTATGTTCCGATGGATGAAAGAAACTGTGTTCAACACAGAAGTGCAGGGATTAAATGAGTAAGGCATTGAAAAGAGTTCTTGTTTTGTCTCAATTCAGCTTGTCTGTATTTCCTGGGAGGCTTTAGAAAAAAACACCCTCAGCTGCAGTAGTAATTTCAACTGTTGCCACTTTAGTGAATCTTTTCCTTCTTCCTTTTCAGGTTAAAAGATTGGAAGGCTCGTTTGAGCTACTTCTTGCAACACTCTTCCTCTCCTGAGAAGCCCAAAACTGGCAAGAAGAGCAAACAGCAAACCTGCATCAGGTGAGCGGGAAGTCTTGTTCTTTGCAAAGCTGGTGAGCTGTCTGCTGCACTGGAAACGGGAGCCGGGGTTCCGAAGGGCTTAAGCTCACGTGCACATCTTCTCTTGCAGGCCTTCTCCCGAGGAGGCACAGCTGTGGTCAGAAGCCTTCGATGAGCTGCTCGCCAGCAAATGTAAGTTAGCCTCTTGAATTTAATCCGCCTCAAGGGTCCCCAGAGGCTAGAGAGGTTGTGTCCACTCAACAGAAGAGCAGCGTGCCTGAAGCCATCCCTCTTGACAATCGCTGCCACGCGAGGCCCATTTTTCCCCTTTATTCCCCAGTGCTGAACCATGGAAGTACATGGTTGATTCATTCCAGGTGGGGGTGAAAATTAACCTAAATAATTTACAGTGGCAGTTGCTCTCTGTTAAGGTTGACTCAGCTTTTCCATTGCATACATGTTTGCAAGAGGCATGGTTCCCAGAGCATTTAAGGCTCCCTATAAATATTTGCATTGACAGCAAAAGTCCAGTATTTATATCTTTGGAGCAGTATGCCAACTTAAGCATTTTTCCTACTGGCATCTTAAGTCTTTAAAGAGCTACATTCTGAGGATTACAAGTTGGAGTGAAATCTAAGATACTGCTATAATCTAGAAATAATAACATATGGGTGCAGGGGAGTGAGATTCCCAGGGGAAAAAATATAAGGGATTATTTGATCACTTAATTCACATTCTGCATGCCTTCCTTTCAGATGGTCTTGCTGCATTCAGGGCTTTTTTAAAATCGGAATTCTGTGAAGAAAATATTGAATTCTGGCTGGCCTGTGAAGACTTCAAAAAAACCAAGTCACCCCAAAAGCTGTCCTCAAAAGCCAAGAAAATATATACCGACTTCATAGAAAAAGAAGCCCCCAAAGAGGTAAGGAAAAGAAAGATTCCCATTTTAAGCATATTTCGAACATTCTTAGCACCAAAATGAAACAAAAGAGTTGGAGAGAAATCTTAAATTAAAAGGGGTGGGGGTGGTAGCAATGTGTTCCCTCTAATCCTAGCTTTGAATTAAGTTTCTTCAGTTGCTAGGTTGGTGAAGCTAATCAAACATTACAGTTTGGGGGGTTTTGTTTGTTTTCAAACATTAAATAGATTCAAATCTCTTAACTCTGAATATGGAATAAACCACTTTTCTTTGTTGTATCATTTCAGATAAACATAGACTTTCAAACCAAAACGCTCATTGCCCAGAACATCCAAGAGGCTACAAGTGGCTGCTTTGCGACAGCCCAGAAGAGGGTGTACAGCCTGATGGAGAACAACTCCTACCCCCGGTTCCTGGAGTCGGCGTTCTACCAGGATTTGTGTAAAAAGCCCCAGATCACCGCCGAGGCCCATGCTACATGAGATGACAACGAGCCCCAGCATGGAGGACTTTCCGTTTTGTTCCTAAGGGGGAAAGGCTGCGACCTTCCCCAAGGGACTGACCTTGAATTCAGCCTGGGTGTTGGGGAGACGTCACTCAGAACTGTTGATTCAGAGTTGGGGAGCGCACTGAGAAGCTGGCGGTCCTCAGGAGAGGCTGGGACCGGGGTGGCCTCCGTGACTGTGACTGTGCAGCACACGGGGAGCGCGTGGTCTGATCCAGGGGTGTCTCCCGCTGGAAGGGCAGGAACCTGGGAATGGAAAGATAACGATGAAATACTATTGGTCCAAAAGCATTTTTGAAATCAGTGGGTCTGGGATCCTGTGGCCTTAGGTAGCTGGCTGTACATCTTAAGGTCGGTCCACGTTGCCACACAGTGGTTTTAGTTTTAGTTTGTTTTCGTGCTAAGTGATGTTAACGTGTTTACTACGTGCAAGCATATCCAAGTGCTCATGACTGCAGATCATCGGTCCCGTGGTCTCGTGACCCTGACACTGTCTGTGTTTTTACTACCCCTCGGTGTGTCCCAGAGTGAGTGCTGTTGTGTAGGAAATAGTGTCCGTTGTGAGTGCCAAAACATGTCCTGAAGGCAGCTAAACTTTGAAGTGGTCTTTGCATACTTTTAATAAATTTATTTTGATAAATAATGTCATTGACTATTGGGTCCAGATGTGGGTGTTTTTTTTGTTGTTGGGTTGGTCACGGGCAATATGGCGGAATCGGGGCACACACCTCCTTTTTGACAGAGACAGCGTATCAGAGGGAGAAGAGTTGGGGAAAATGGTCCTAGCTCTACAAGGCTTATGTAAGTCAGAAACTATATGATCACATCCCCAGAGTCACCCTGGGATCAAGCTTTCTAATGTCATCTCGCAAAAATCAAGCTCGTTAATAATGAAAACAAAAGAACATGGACCCCCAGTCCTGTTTGTGTGGTTCTGTTCAAGACCGGCTAAGTGGGAGACCAAACATAACGTCATGGAGACAGCAGGCCAAAACCATTCACGTAACTGAGCTTCTCAAATGAAAAGAGACGGACGCTAAGCCAGGTGAATGCAGGCCAGGCTCTTTGATTTCCCTCGGTTCCAAGTTCCCCTACGGAGCGCTGGCCTGAGCTTCCAAAATGCACACCTGCAGTTGTTCGCCTCCATGACAGGTCAGGAGAAAATCAGAATTCTGATTGTCCTGCCTGCATTTAGCCAAGAAAAAAAAAATGTGAGAGGGAGGGGGGCGGTGAAGCAAGGCGAAAATAAAGCGGGAGGGGATAAAAAGTAAAAAAGAAGGGGAGCCCTCCTCTGGGATTCGGAAACCTGAGCCCAAGGAATGATGCCTCAGCTCTGACCCTGGGAGTCCTGTCTCCTCAACTGACACGTTCCTGCCTATTCCACTGATCCCTGGGAGGGAGTAACACGAAAGCACTTTTTTAAAAAGAAGAAAAATTGACCTCTTACCACTTAAATTCTTTTTTTTTTAAGACATTCTTACTCTTCCCACAGAGTTCATGGTTTTTGTTTTTTTGGTTTTTTTAATGACTTTTAGTGGGAGAGGGTGAGGGAGAGAAAAACATCGATGTGAGAGTGAAACATCAATCAGCTGCCTTCCGCGCACCCGCTACCGGGGAATCAAGCCCGAAATCTGGGCATATGACCTGACCTGGAATCGAACCGGCAACCTTTAAGGTGCAAGGGATGATACCCGACCCACTGAGCCACACTGGCCAGGGCTTGTCCCTTAAATTCTGTTTTCATTGTTCGCGAGTGGATTTTCACCTGCATCAGACTTTCTGACACCGAACGGCACAAGCTCCGTGACGGACGTCGCCTCACTCCTTCCTGTGCCACCAGCAGGCCAGAATAATATATTAATAGGTGCTCCATGAATAGTGAAAGGGTCATTGAAAGGAATATTTCTTTGGAGAATAAATATGTCAGGTCTGCACAAGCCTGAATTTGGAAAGGTCTTGGCCAACAGAAAATCCTGGGAGTCATGCCATATGTCCAAGTAGTCACCAAGTCCTGTGTCATTTACTTCCCATCTCCAGCCTGCTTTCTGTCACCACCCTGGTCACAGAAGCCACCATCTGATGCCTGGAAGACTGCTTGGTCTCCCCTCACTCCCTCCCCTCCCCCAATGTGCCTTCTGCTTTTTTAACTCTAGGGATCCTTTCAAGACGTAAAGCTGCTCTTGTCTCCTGTGGCTTATAAACCGTTGACAGGTTTCCCAAGCAATTTAGGAGATAAAGGTACGATCCCTACTAGGGTCTAACACAGCCGTGGGCAAACTACAGCCCATTTGAAATGAATAAAACTAAAAAAAAAAAAAAAAAAAAGACCGTACCCTTTTATGTAATGATGTTTACTTTGAATTTATATTAGTTCACACAAACACTCCATCCATGCTTTTGTTCCGGCCCTCCGGTCCAGTTTAAGAACCCATTGTGGCCCTCGAGTCAAAAAATTTGCCCACCCCTGGTCTAACACCTTCATGGTCTGACCCCTCCTTCTGTTCCAACCTTGTCCCCAGCGCTCTCTGCCAGCCACGCTGGCCTACTTCCGCCCCCTTGTAGGAGCCATGCCCGACTGGTTTCACAGGGCCTGGAATGCTACTCTGGTTCTTACTCATCATGCATCTCTCACTACAATTGTCACTTCCTCAGGGAAGTCTTCCCTGACCTTCTCACCAAGGTCAGATCCCCTTGGAGACATTCTCAGACCACCAGGTTCTCTCACTGAGAGCCCTTGAGTAGAGTTCTTGTTCATCGGTAGCTTTGTTTGGTCATCCTAGATCTTTCCTCGCTTTCCAATAGCTGATGCCACTATTGGAAGACTGTCTTTTCCTGCTCACTGCTGAGTCCCAAAACCCAGCACCATGCCGAGCACACAGGGTGAATAAATAGTCAAAGGTCTGATGAATGCATTCTGGTGAAATAAGAAGCATCTCCCAACAACACAAAAGAAACAGGGACAAGGTTTCAAAAGCCCCATTGGCACCAAATGTCTGATAATATCTGCAGAGCTTTTTCCTTTGGCAAAAAAAAAAATCTTACCAAGCATCTTCTCTCTAACTTATGATTTGTACTAGAAAGAGAAGCCAGACTACAGTCACACACACACACAAAAGAAACAAGAGTTTTGACCTTTTTCAGGGCTGCTAAGTGACAGGCTTGATTCAGCATTCAGGTGGTCTATTTTCCAATGTTCTCTAGTGGAACGCACTGAAACAGATTTAAGATTAGAAATGACATACCTCCACAAATAAATGTTACGTGATATTCCTCAGGGGATCCACAGTCCGTTCGTTTTGACAGTATTTCCTTTTTCGTATATTTTAAGCCCAGGAGCATTTCAAAGGACAGTCATTTCGGACAGTCCCCCGGGGGTAGAGGGGAGAGGAGAAATTGTCTATTTATTATCGGTCATGTGAGCAGAGGGAGGCGATCTGTAAGTTTCAACGGGTTGCCTCAAGTGACACCCGAAATTTCACGGAAAACAGGTCTTCGGTAGAGGGGCGGTTGATTCGTGTGTTTACCACAATATTTGATGACACTCACCTCGAGGGGCTGGAGAGTGAAGAGAATGTGTCTGTATCTGGACGGGGTAGAGTCTAGGAAGTGCCCACCCTGTGCCAGGCACTCTCCCAGTTCTAACTCTGTTTTCCGACGTTAGCCCAAAACTGCAGGTTAAGACGGACTGCATCTGACTTTATAGGTTGTTGCCACTGTTAAATGGCTGACTGACCTGTGCGGAGATTCCCGGGATCTGGACGAGATGCTCTAGAAATGCACTTCCTGTATTTTTGTCCCTGGCAAGGAGATGGAGTTTACCTAACTTTTGGCATCCCAGCTAAGGGGCAACAACCCAGAGGTGGCAACAACCCAAAAGAGCGTCTCCTGGGACCCGAAGGGTTAAAAGAGGAATCCCTGGCAATGGTGAGAAGTACATTCCAGCCTAAGGCAACAGCATAGACAGAGGCCTGATGTTAACCATCCTGGACCCATAATCCAGCATGACAAGACCACAGCGTATGCGGAGGATAAGGCCTAAGGTGGGCGTAGCCTGGGACCAGGTGGTAGAGGGCCTTGACTATTGAAGGCTAGGATTTTATTCTGAAGCAATGGGATACCAATCTCAACTAAAATGTACAGGAACAACTTGGGCTGCAATAGGAAGGATGGATTGGAGGCAGAAAGACGCGTTAGGAGACGCAGTAATAGCCCAGATGAGAATGCCATGGGCCTACACCAGGATGGTGTCATCAAATAATGCAAGGTCACTTTAGAGCAAATTACGCATCGCCTACTCCCTGCAGAACACTGATCTAAACCATACAGGGAATACATATAAAGACATGGAAAACACATTTCCTGTCTTCCAAGAAGCAACGATTAAGTGCCTAATAAGGTACAAAAATTAAAACATAAGGTAGGCTCTGATTGCTGATGACAAATACCTTTAGCTGGAATGAATCAAGAATGGTGAAGACCCATTTTTGATGAGATTTAAAGAACGAGTAGATTTAATACAGATGAAGGGGAGAGTCTTAACGGCAGAGAAACCGTTTAAATAAGGGGGGAGGGGAAGCAAGATGACATCTTGCATTGCGCTATGATATTTTGGGTAGGGATGTATATTTGAAAGCTATTTTCTTGATTTTTTTTTTGTAAATATTTATGAAGGTTTCTCTGGGCAAGAAAGATATAAAAACGCAGAAGAAATAGTCGTCTACTGAGAAGGAAAGGAACAGAAAGACTGGAAGGTCAAAAATCAGAACTAAAGACAATGTTTTCTTTTTCTTCCAGAGTTCTGTAAGCTCATCAGCCAGCCTAGTCATCCAGCCCTATGAAATCGTCCTCCGGGCTATCTCAGGCATCTCTCTCTCTTTTACGACAGCCAGGTGCTTACTCACCGCTGTCACCCTCTCAGCTAGATCCCAAGATGTCTCAGAGCCTGGGTCCTGCTTCTCATTTACCCCCTAGTCTGTTGTTTCTCACGTCACTCTTATGACCAGAAAAAAATATCACCTCTCTGGAATCTCTCCAATCAAGGTAAACTTCTATACCTGAGGCTAAAAATGTTCCACTACTTGTTTGTTTTTCTGCCCTTCCAATTATTTCTCACCACTGACCAGTAATACTCGTTGCTGGATTTTCTTATCGTTCTTAGATATATTCTCTTATTATTAAGTCCAATTGTTTTCCTTCCTTAGAACTGACCTTTCTTCCCTTAAATTTTATTCATTTTTCAAGGCTCTGCCCAAGCTTCACTTCTAAATTATTGCAAAGTGGGTATCCGTTTTATCTTCCAACAAAAAGGGCAACAACTGGACCGTTTTAGCTTATTATCCTTAATTTTCAGAGTAATGGGTAAGGGTCCAGACACGGAAGATACTTAGCACCCATTGGCCATTCATTAACTGGTTAGCTCATTGATTGATCATTGATTGACTCACATACTCTTCAGTAAAAAATGCATGCAGTGATATCATGCTTTTCATTTAAATTTGCTAAACTCATTTGCAAAAACAATTTTTCTTTCAGGAATCTACATAGGTTTTTATCTTGGCTCTACATTTTTGCCTTGCAACTGTAGAGAAAAACACACACACTAAACTATGTGGATCTTGGATAAGATCCTAACATTAGGTCTTTTTGAATCCCA